TCATCAGTTAGACTGTCTATACTATTTTTCATTCATACTTCGTCATTAAACAAAACTATTTAAATTCCTAGAGATTCTGAAATCGCAATTTCAGTTGCTGGTATATTCTAAATTGGTTTTCATTAAAATTCTCTCCGGCTTCACGAAACGTAGCCTCATTTATTTGTCATGAGTTTATTAATATTTTTGTTTAAGTGTTTTTTTATTGAAGAACAATAGTGGAAGCAAATAGTTCCTTCCTGAATTATTCAGAGGCTGTGCTTTTATAACAGAGCTGTTTTTATTTCCAACTAAGAAAGTTTATTTTCATGTGCGTACGGGCTTGTAATCGATTAAATGTGAACAGAACCGATGATAGCTTAATAAAATTTATTTTCCAAAACAAAAACTTTAAAATATCCAGTTCTGGAGCTTTTCACTAAAGTACTCGTACAGCTCTTCTCAGTACGACAGAGTACAATAAGTAGTTAGCACTTCAAACAACTAAGAATGTTAAACACAACTGGCATGAGGATACTGAGCAAAGTGAACCTAAGCAAGGAGGTCTTTCAGTACTCAACTCTGAACTAAAAACTGACAGGTGATCCTTTCTTCAGTTTTATATAGTTTTTCCCAGTCTGACGAGAAATTTTCAGTACCTTCAATTTTTTGAAACTACTGGAAGCATATATAGTTAAAGTTACTTACAGGGCTTGATACAGTTACATATAAAGATCAGACAACAAGAGTCCAAAAATATTTTTCATATTCTAATAAGACAATTTTCTCAATAAGAAAAATAAGAACGGGGAACGAAAAACATGCTGAAACTTCTAAATATTGTAACGAGTTATGAATTATAGTTTATGGCTGAAAATTAGCAATTATATTTACAGCTTTTATTAAACATATGGCACAACCATATTTAGAGAATTATATTAAAAATATGACTGATATATTTATTAAAATGACGAAACGCTCGGAGAATATACAAAATGTACTGGTTTATTTAAGACATTACGTGTGGATCACCTATTATTATGAAAGAACAGCTGAATGAACGTTCGACCACATTTGAACATGTATTTGTAGTTATTTATTTATTTCCTAATATGTTTCAGATTTAGACATTAAAGGAAGTTAAGTAAACACAAAGTACATGAAACTGAATATTGTCGCCCGTGTTGGAATTAAAAATGAAAAAAATTGAACCTATTTTTAATCTGGATTTTTCAGATATTACACACATTTTAATGGATAAAACAATATGGGTTCCTAAGATACAATGACAGCAGATATATAAGATATAGAACACACATATATATTTATAATTTTCAATTTTAATAGATCATTTTGGTTATTATTACTATTTACAAATATTTCTGAGATTATAGTTTTTTAAGGATTAGTAAACGTATATATATCAACTAACGCTAAAGGACTGATAAGAATACGAATCCTTATTATGATTTAAATACCATGAAACAATCTTAAGTGATAAGCATAACACTCAAATAACGGCTGAATTTATTACTCAGCTCTTAAGACATAATTCAAAGACACAAACCTAGTTAGAAAAATACGTATATTTATGTTACACGTATGTTTACATACGTATTTACGCACATAAAGCTACAAGGTTTTCCAATGAGAAGATAAACAAGAGGAGGAGGTGAGTAATACGTATATGGGCTGCCATTAATAGCTCTTCCAGAAGTTTTTCTAACCGTATTCATTAACAATCATAGTTCTTTGTGTTATATTGTAAGGATCTTAAGTTTTACTAACGTTTATTTTATTTTAAATCTTTACTATCACTTCTTATTTTCTACTTCCGGCCAGAATTATAAGCGTTAACTTATTTATGCAAAATTTGTCTGGCGAACGCCAAGTACTTAAGTTGTGGCTTTTTGCGAAGCGAGAGAGAGGAAGGAGTTAGTCGAAGCAGGCCGCTTACCTTAGAAGTTTTACTCAGTTGCTGGTTGCCTTCCAGGCCAGAGGTTTAATCCTCGTGATAATTTTTAAACGTATTGTAGTGTTAACAGTTCTCTGTACTACATACGGCTTCCTGTTAATATAAGGCCAATCTTCCACGTTTATTATTTCAAAGTTAAGTTAGCGTTTAGTTATATTTTTATATTCTTACGTTTAGACCACAAGTAGTGGGTCTTTGTATTCCGAAGTACGGAAATTATTGTAAAGAGAGAAAAATAAAGGGTTTTGTATACCCTTCTTGTGTATCCTGTCTACTTCCCACAGTTATTGAACATAGCTTTAGTAAGCTCCCTGTTCCGAGTCAGGTCCTTGCATGTTCCCAAAGAAAGTAAGACGGAACATTGAACCTGATAATATAGCCTCAAAGGTTAGACAGAGAATACATCATATATTCCGGCACCGTCCTTCCCCATTGATATACACTACCCTTTCCGTCATACATTACATAATAGTATACAATAGCGGTTCAACTGATTATCATTCAAGGCAATTATAAATCTTGTAATTCATCGCGCTCATGTTAACAGCCCAGAATTTTATTCGCTCCAACTTCAGTCCATCTGTCGCTTCCTTCATCACAAACTAAATGAATCTGAAATAGTAGTACAATTGGTAATCATTAAAACGAAATATAAATCAGTAGCTTATTGCATTCATGTTTTTTTTTTGGGGGGGGGTTATTCAGTGTTAGTTTATCTCTCAAAGTAAGCTTTGTTCATCTGGATCGCCGCCCAGACGGTATATCGATTTGTAACTTGACTGCTCTACCGAAGACTCCGGGTTCTAATCACTGAGAATGCATGGATGTTTGTATTTGTATAGCGTCCGTGCTTCGAGGGAACACTCAAATTACAGGGCGAACCTAAAATTCTCCCGATAGGTTAATGGCAGGTAAAATTGTGGGGGAAATATCCGCACGAGCCACAGGCTGGTTTTTTTTTTCAAAACTGGGACGGAAACGTAGCAGCTTGTAAGGCCCAGAGAGTTTGCCAAGAGATATTGCATCTAATACAGGGTAGGAGACCAATGGGTGAGCAGCTGTGCCGCCAAGAAGACTTTCAGCTTTATTGCTCACTCAGTGGGACCATAATAGTACTCGTACAGCTCTTCTCAGTACGACAGAGTACAATAAGTAGTTAGCACTTCAAACAACTAAGAATGTTAAACACAACTGGCATGAGGATACTGAGCAAAGTGAACCTAAGCAAGGAGGTCTTTCAGTACTCAACTCTGATGATCATGCTACATGAATGAATTACTTAAACCCCAGCAGAGCAGAAGAAAAGAGACTGACCTTCTCTGGTGGCATCTATCAGCAAAACTCCCCACTAAAAACTTCACCAGCAACAAATTCTCATTTCCAGATATAAATGGAATCAGGATGCCTTAAATATCTGAAAACGGTGGCAACAACGCCTTTCAACCTCCATCGCAAATTTTAAAAAAATCTATAAAACTCATACTTTCGAAAAAAAATTTTAATAGGCATTCAAAAGTAAATTTTATAATTTATTTACTGTTATACCTGACACCGATGTAATTCAGCACTCTGAAAATGTAATTAGAAAGGGGTAAAAACGCATCTTGCTCATTTCTACAACAGGTAACTTCGTTTCAGGTGAAACAACATTCGTTATTAAATTTACTGTTGATCCTCATTATAGTGTTTTTAATCACATCCTTGCACATTTTGCATTTAATAAACAAAAATCTTTTACATTCGGCTAAATAAAGCATATTAATGAAATACAAAAATATTTTACTAACTGGAAACTTTGCTTCATGGAGACTTCAAAAGTATTTAGATTTTAATCTTCCAGAAAGTTTCCATTCTTCGTCTCGAAACTAGTATCGGAAAATTACGTATATGGGTCGTTTAAATGGCACTGATGTAATAACTCCGCCATTTGAAGAGAAAGATAACTGCGCATGCACCTATAGAGGTTGGTGAGTGATGGGATTGCGTGGGATATCGTCAGATCCCGGCAGATGCGTGCATCATAGCGTCCGAGCAGGTGTTCTTGACCACATGCACTTAACCAATTTGTGGCCTGTTGTCAGTACTGCTTCTTCCACTACGAAAATGCCTACACTAATCGGAATACCGATCTGCCTTTCATACATTCCATGCCATAAACAGTTTGCATTCGATGAGAGATTTCAGAGCACTCGCATTTCCCGCTGTTTAAAATTGCACGACCGCGCATTGACACCGTTTGGAGGCAATGATGGATACCGTCTGGACCATGATGGAAACGATGCCTCTCTGCGTGCTCTGACGCTATGATGAACGCATCTAGCGGGATCTGACGATATCCCATGCAATCTCAGAACTCCCCGCCCTCTATAAGTGCATGCGCACTCATCTTTCTCTTCAAATGGCGGAGTTATTACGGCAGTGCCACTTTCATTTGGACGACCTTTATAGCTTATTTTAAGAAATATTCTAATTTTAAGTGCATGTGTAAGTTTCATACTTAAACATGTAAATGTTAACGGCACTTTTTAATAAATTTTGATTAACATAAATATGACTATTTATTTGTTTTTCTGTTTAATTTTAAAAATCAAATCTAGTTTCCAGATTTTGTGAATTTGTATTCTTTCTTCTACGTATAGCAACAGTATCTGAAACAGTAGCTAAAGAAAATTAAATTGCATCTAATGTTGATAATTTTGTGCGAAACTACTGCTCATACTTTTTTATTCTCTTGCTTTCAAAATCTATTTAGAATGTTTATTTTATGCAAAACAACTACCAGATCAACAAACTGTTTTAATAATCAGTGTAGTGGTTTAGTTGATTGGTATGACTCTATTCACTGAAAATAAAATAGTTTTGAATTATGCAAACTGCACTCCTAAAACTTTCAAACAATAAATGTGCTAAACAGCGATAGAGCACAATCTATAATATATATGAATTCATATATATTTAGTATTTACATTTTTAAGCTGAATTTTGAACAAGCGCGTTATTAATAAATTACCACAAAGAAGTGCGAAGTAATGTTTTCTCTTTACAGGCTGTTTAGAAGTAGAAAGAGATTCCCAAAAGAATGAAGGACTTTATACATTGATCGCTAGCAATCCATTTGGACAAGTGAACCATTCAATATATGCCAGATTCCATATAGGTAAAATTATTATATTAATCTTAAAAACATATATCCAAATGTGTAAAAAAATATTTGTTAAAGTTTCAGAAATGTTGAAAAACTTCAATAGTTAGTTCTAAACAGAGTTCAGTTCTTTAACACCTATTGAGAAACTGTAAGAACTTCTAATATGCATAAATCCATTTTTTTTTCACAGTAATGAATTTACTTTTAAGCAAATAAAAAATTTTAGTACAAGACTTCCTTATTTTCAAGAGAAAATTTAAGGGCCATTCTTTATCACTAATAGTTTGGAAAGTATATACTGGTACTTAGTTCAGTACTTTCCGAACTTTCAGTTTAGATCTATCAGTTTTCTTATGGAAGAGAGAATGAGGAGTGAGGGAAAATGATTACGCTGGAGAACGATTATTGCAAATATGAACATGTTGCAAATAAATTGCATTTGTTACTTTCAACATGAATGCAGTATATTCAAAAATTAATGTTTTACAAAACGTGTCCTATATAGTGTTTTGCTCAATAATGAATCTTTGCCTCATCCGATATCCAACTTTTCGAGGTTTGAATGTTTTTCACTGTACGTTTCGCTTTTAACTTTGCTCTCGCAAAAATGCTTTCCGTGGTTTCACGAGTCTCGATAGAACTCGACGTCCTCACTTGTTCATTTTTATCTTCCTCTTCTATACTCCTTGAAGAACCGATAGGAAAGCTATTGATGAAATCCCTAAGCCCTAATAAGGATAAACTAATTAAACCTAAGACAAAGTAACCGTATATCATATTGCAACGAAATAATAATAAATCTTTCCGGTAAAGATTCTAATACCGCATACTGTGAGCTGAGAGCCTCGTACAACGTTTTATTTCATTACGTGTTGTTACATTGATAATCCAAGAAAAATACAATATCAAAATAAATATATATTTGGCTTCAGAATTTTCTCCAGGTCCTACATGTAGGAAATGCTCAGTGGTCCATAATTGTTACATAACGAGTTAAAAGGATTGATAATGTGGCAAAATGAGAGTTAGAAAAAGATGAATAAGGAAATAAGTAATAGTATTTGTATAGGATTTCATTTGCGAACCCAAAACAGCGAATTAAAAAGACCGTTGTGGGAAAGATAGACCGAAGTTCTACTATATTGGTATTTCATAATAACAACAATGATATTGTATGATTTATTAATCATGAACATGAACTGTGCATCAAGGATTAAACCATGTGCTTATGTAAACGTAAAACTTCTAAAGATACAAAATTCGCTTTTAAATATAACAATTTCAAAAAAAAAAGGAGAAAAAGCAAAGATCTAAAACTAGGCAAAGTTCAGGTTTAGGAAAGCCTTAATTTTAGGAAATAGATATCATATGTACTTTGAGAGAATATGACATAAAGTCTACTTGTTCCGAGAAAGAAAACAGCACTAAAATATTATTTTCCCTCTTTAAAATAAATAAGCTGTGAAATTAAAATCAATTTAAAAATGATTTTGGCCTAACTTATAAAATATAAACGTACGATCTGACTCTAATTAAAAAAAATTGTCGGATATATTTTGCCACAGGAAAACGTTGTTTTAAGACAGATACTGAATCAAATTTAAAAACCATAGTCACAAGAAATGTAAATAGAAATAATCTTCGAATTTATTTAAAAAGAGGCTCGAATTTATTTTTTACTGAATTCGTGACTTTATTGTTTTCAGCAACACGACAGGAGTTTTTAGTTTGCTTTGCATTAAAAATTTCATTTCAGGTTAATCTTATTTTCAGGTATTAAATCTCCTGCACTCAAAGAACTTCCAAACCTTTATTCATAAATTTTTCCATATACCTTTTCCTCTCAAACTTTGCTAAGAAGGATTACTTTTCAAAGAGTTGTTCGGTATCGTCTGTTTGGCGTAAGAGTGATAACGTGATATTTGCTTCACAGGATTAGCATTTTTTCCCTTTCCGAATTTTTATTTTAAGTACAAGTTCTGCTAAAATGTTGAGAAAAAGAATTAAGTGGAAAATTTCTTTTGTGAGAAGTTTAAAGCTGCTGTCACTTAATTATATCATTTTATCGAAAATTAATTATCTGCACTCTTTAGATCCAGTGCCGATTGCTCATCCGACATATGTACCTCAGGGTAGACCACCAGTGCCCATTATACCCGTGATGAAAAAGGCAGACTCAGATGAAAGAAACAAAACGTCCATTTTGGTAAGTAGACTATATTAGTTCATTTCTATTTTACTAAAACCGGTATTGGGAAATTATCGTATTATCGTAATATATTTATGGAAAATTTCAAAATTTGTAGGGACATTAGGTTATTTCGACGCAGGAGTTTGAAGAAATGTGCAGTGCCTTTGCCAGGACTCGAACCACTGACCTCTCGAATACGCGCCGAGCGTGCTGACCACTACACCACGAAGGCATACTAAGAAGGCGGGACAAGTACCATATATACTACCCCTTTTAAAGGGCGACTGGGAATTAGGGGACCCAGTCGCCAAATCATTTTGAAGCAGGAAGTTGAAGAAAGGAGCAATACCCTCACCGGGACTCGAACTATGTACCTCTCGCATAGGCGCCGAGCATTCTGACCACTACACCACGAAGGCATGCTAAGAAGACTGTAGAAATACCATGTTATCTTTGAATAACATAAACAAATTTTCTCTACGTTTTGAAAATAAGGCGTTCCTATAAAATCCCATAACACTAAATAACTTAAAGCGAAGACGCAGTTACCATTAATTTCTCTGATAAAAGGGTTCGAGTTCTCTCTGGCATTTAAAAAAATATTAAATCCTGCAAGATATCTCTTAAAATTAAAAATAACAGTACAAAGTGATATGATAAACACATAGACTCTACAAATACATTTTATGAATGACATATTTTTAACTTCCAAAACTGAAAAGTGAAAGAACTCGCTGAAAATAGTAATGATCATGTATTGTCGAGTTACCGGAAATATAGGACGCAGATCCTTAGATATTGGCCACAAATGTGAGACACATATGTTGTTCATTTAGAGATTTATTTATCCGAAAAACTTATGGCATTGCTGAATAAGAAAGACTTTAATATAATACAGAACTTGAAAACAAGCAAGTTTCAAGACAGTAAATAAGAATATCAAAATCTCAGGAGCTCCATGATATCTTATTGATAAGATAAAAATCTTACTAAGGAAAATTAAGCTTATAATATAATTGTTGCATAACGAGTTAAAAAGATTTTTGTTTTTGTTTCGAGAGAATCTGCGCATGTCCGAAAAGAAAGGAAAAAAACCGTTCAAACATATTTCGAAATGTAAATGCGTTATTTACGATAAATAAAAAAAATTATGAAAAGTATACGAACATTTTAAATAGAACAAATTTTATCTGGCTCTAGATTTGACATAAGTAATTACATATTGGTCCTCAAAGAAATAGAATTCGTTATCAGTAAGAATATTTTACTTTAATTAAGAAACTTTGTCGCGATAATAGTATTACATTAACTACACACTTGCCATTCACGGCAAACTGCATTCTATCTGTTTTCCTGATAATGTGGCCACATAAACCTGAGATCAGTATTGCTGTTCGTTGATTGGCTCGGCACAATACTTGTCTCTCCGGGATATCAGATCACTGGAAAGGGGTTCTGTGAATTCATGAATCCAAGTATGATGTGCTTCAGTCTAAGGGCATTTTATGGAGGCGACAAATAAGAAAAAACCATCTGTAGGTTTTCCATAATCAAGTTATAGTTTGGCGTATTTTTGTACTGGTTTATTTAATATATAATTTCATTTAACTTATTTTTCTATACTTTTGTTTGATAGGTAGCTTGTAATTTATTTAGGTTAATTTTTTAAATAAATATTTGACCTTTTTGCAAAATCCTAATTCACTTGAACTGTGCCTCACGGATATATAATATCTGCAATAATAACGGGATGTTTTTCAAAACTTGATGCATCCTTTTTTATTTGCTGTTGCATTTTATAGCCTTTTTAACGATCAGATCAGTCATCGCATAGTCTCAATTCTTTACATCATTTAACAGGTCTAAAATAATCTTCCAAATGAAAATTATTTGAATTTTTTAAAATAATGTTTGAACTTTGACATTTTTAGGAAGACACTTAATTTTTAAAGAAACTGGCACTTGCTAAAAATGAAAGATTTTAAATCAAATTTTATTCTTCAACATCAACAGCCTCGAGAATTTCAATGAGGTAAATACTGATTTTTAAATCCAGCAAGAAATTAAATGAGTCAAATAAAAAATTTATACCATTCGATAAATCGAAACATTATGGAACAAAGTTACAATATACTTCAGTGCAGCACAGGTTAAAAGAAATAATTTCCTTTTTTGTCTATCGGAATTTTATAAAGTATAAGATAAAATGAATAAAATCGTTTCAACCAAATACTACATTAGAAAGTAAAAAGTGCAGTTTTAGTTGTCATTTTTGGTCATGTGTATTAAAACTTTAAACGATAAACGCCCGTATGCGAACTTTATTCAAATCATAAATATAATTTTGAGGTATAATATATCTAATAGTATAGAAATGATATATAATCACACTGAATGATTACATTTAAATCATTTAAATGTGTATGCCAATTCTGATTTAAATTTCGCCATTAATATCATAATGAAATTCATATCTGATAGCCACCAATGATTTTAATTTTAATCACTTATGACCAATAATATTAACGCGGCTAAAAATAATTTTTACCACTTAGTGAATTTAATTAAACACTCTTATTTGAAATTTTTTCATACATTTGCTTTGTATGAGTATGGCATTCGCATTGATGTTGCACTATTAAGATTTAACTGGTATAAAGAAATCTAAACTGCTGCACAGCAGAACATCAAATTTCTTTGTAAATAAACTTGATATTGAATGCTTTTAACTCACTGAAATTGAAAGCTTTTAACAATATATTTTCAATTAACTTAATTTCAATGGAGTTCTTTTATATTTTGTGCATAGCTATTTTCTTTCCGTCATTTTTTGAAAGAAATGATGTGAAGTATTAATAGATCACACTGTTCACAACTACCGACATATTTTATTTCCTGTGATGGAACTGATACAGATGGTTAATAATCTTTCTCCAATGGAAAATCTTAATCTCCAAAGCGTACTTCGAATAAGATCATTAAGCGAAAAGGTAATGGAAAGTAAATAAAGCGTTTAGTACTTTACACTGCTCTTCTTTCTTGTTGAAACATGAAAACTCACTCCTGTAACACTAATTTAATCATGCCTTAAATTAAGTGTGACTATTTATACTGCTAGAGGTTGCAAAAGTCTACCAGCAACAATTCAACAATTAAAATATTTTCCTATTTGTGATGATGTTTAGATACTTTATAAATGCATCATAAATCAAGAATTCTTAAGATTTAATGTAAATATGAATTCTGAAGAGTTAATATGAACATGCTTTACATTGAAGAAAATATAATAAATAATTTGTCTCTAACGACAGGAAAACATTTACTAAAAATTAAAATAAGTAAATAATAGGATTTGAAATTAAAAATCTGAAATTCCTCAAAAATGATGTTTATAATATTATAAAGCAATCACTCTTTTTCCCTTAATTTGCTGCATCAATTTGCATTAATTTGCTGCAAAGCCCGATATTTCGTTATTTCAAACTTTTGGTAAAGGGTAAAACAATAAGAAGAAATACACACAAGCTCAAAAATTAAGACTGCTGGGGGATATGTTCGATACCCGCATCTTTCATATCAATGGATTAGTGAATTTGTAACTCTAATTTATTATAATATGTTTTGTTTTTTAAATGGCGGGCACCAGCCATTTCGGCTTTTCCCACTAGTAAGGCCAGGAATTGTGTTCATTTTATTATGAAGGTACGTAATAGGCTACCGACGTTACCTCCTAAAAGGGAACAGATAATGTACATCCATGTCTTCTCCAGGATTTAAACCCAGGCTGTTCGATTTACTACAATATAGAAGAATTGCATCAAATAGACCAAAGTGCATAGGTTCACCTATAAAATATTTCTCCCACTTTCCTAGCATGCCTTCGTGGTGTAGTGGTCAGCACACTCAGCCGGTATTTCAGAGGTCCGTGGTTCGATTCCCGGCGAAAGCGGTTGCTAATATTTCAATCTCTCTTGCTTCCAAAAAATCCTAATGTCGCTACGCATCTTAAGCCTAAAATTTTAAATAATTTATTTAATGAACGGATTCTAAGAGAAGATGTGCAGTTTGAATCACAAAGTTTAAAGCGATAAGTTCAATTATTCCGTTATAGTAGATCGTACTATTTCGTATCATTATGTTTAGGTACCTTGCCCAAGAAAACACCCGGTAGTGAGCTGTGGTAATGTTTGAGTAAAGTATATTCAAATGAATGCTCTTTTTGTATTATTGAGATAGATTCCCTTAGTCTGTTCCTTAATTAATTATGGTTCATAATGCATAAAATATCCATCTTTCAAAAATACTTTAACACAAGAGACAAATTCACACATTTGTCAACTAGAAACAACTGGCTTTAGAAGTTCGTGGAGGTAAAAAAAAAATCTCGTGTCAGATAATTAGTCTAAAAAGAAAAACCGATAAATAATGCTAATTGTTGTAACCATAGATTCTTCAAGAAACACAGTCATTGTGTAGCTTTTGAAATAAAACCAAATTAAATATATAAATGTAAGTAATCAGATTTGAAGTACGACAGTCAAATAACGAGAGTTTGTTTATAAAATAACTTTATTCAGTCTTCTTCAATAATACTGTATAATTTAACGCACTTCCACCAGCATTTCTGCCAAAGTAAAAGAAGGATGTGAAATTCGCTCAAAATTACGCTGTTCAAAACCACCGTTATGTTCTTTTCCCATGTCTTCAGATCAAATCAATATGCTGCTGTTTTTCAGATTTCAAATTTGGAAAGGCAAAAGTTGCACAATGCGGAATTGGACTAGACTGCAGATGCGGGTCCAAATATTCAGTTACCTTGAAATATCCGTCACCTTGAAAGGGGTTGCCTTCAATGTTCTGTTTCAGGACCTACGTTTTGGAATATTATTATTAATGATCTCCTATTAAAACTAGAAAATCTTGCTTGTTGTGATACTATAGCCTTTGCGGATGATGTTTTGTTTTGCTTCCAGAGTAGGGACCTTTCTGCTACTTTTTTACAGGCACAAGAGACTTTAAATTTCGCCTCCAACTGGTCAAAAGGTTTTAAAAATTAGATTTTAATCCTAATAAAACCAGGGTTATGATTATTGAAAAGCGAAACATCTGTTTATGATGCATTTCAGTTATCTCTCGATGGCACCCCTTTGACTGTGGTAAGCAAATGAAATATCTTGGGGTTTTTCTTGACTGTAAATTTTCTTGGAAACAACACTTAACTTATGTATCAGAGAAATGTGATAAATTACAGCGTGGATTAAGTCGTATTGCACGCAACACATACGGTATTAATTACAGCGTTCATTCGCTCATCTATAAACAAGGAATTGCACCCTCATTATGTATGGCTCTAGAGTCTGGGGTATATCGCTCAAGAAGAAGATAAATTATAGATATTTACGACGCGTTCAAAGGCGGATACTTCTGCGGGTTACATGTGGATATCGTACCGTAAGCTATGAGTCTGTTTATACAATTTCTGGCTTTCCTCCAATTGACATTGCCATTCTTCATTCTATTGCTTATAAGGAAAATATTTCTGCTTCTACTGTCTCTAAGTATGATTATATTTTACCTCTATCTGATCTCCCTCATTCTTCAGAAAGAAATGCTGTTAATTTTATTCAGTTTATCAATAAAAACGTCGTAGCTGATTCGCCGCCTGTAACTTGCTATAACTGATATGATGGCAGCAAAATTGATGGCAAGGTCGGTCTCGCAATTTGTTGTCTTCAAAAATGGTCTTGAATTTGAGCACTTTGAACTTAGAATCAGAGATGAATGTACCGTTTTCATAGCTGAACTTTTGTGCTTAAAAACTTCGCCGTCAAATGGGTCTCTAAACAAGCAGTGCTGTTTCAGACTATCTCATTTGTACCGATTCCCTTTCATCCTTGGAGATCTTAAAAAATATATTCTTTCTTCTTCTAATAATATCATTATCGAGATTCACAAAAGAACTGAAATATCTAAAGGATAAAAATATTTCGGTTTCATTTTCATTTGTTCGTGGTCATACAGGTGTTGTTGGGAACGAACGAGCCGATCTCCTTGCTATCTGCGACTAAGCGGGAAATTGACACTTTTGTCAATATCCCTAATTCCTTCTATAAGAAGGTCATGTATGAAAGCATTGTGGAGTCGTGGAATCACGAATTCATTATTTCAAATAAAGGGAGTTTAACTAGGAGATATTCCCCTTCTATTAAAATGAGATTGTCATGTCATCATTCTTCACAAATTACAATTAACCCAGTTTCTTACTTACGACATGGGAATTTTAAAGTTATTTTGAACAGATTTAAGTTGTATCCTGAGTCTCTGTCTGTGACTGTGGCCTCGGCGGCGAGGAGAATGTTGAAATAAGCTTCTTCTATGTCCTAAATATGAGAGCGAAAGAAAAGTCTTGAAACCTGGGACTGAAAAATTTTAATATTAACTGGCCTCCAGAGTTTTTAACCAATTTATTTTGAGAGAAGTGCTTTTAACACTTTTGTCAATTCATTGTAAAACTTTGTAATCATCCTTAATTTTATTTCAATTTTCTCTTCTGTTTATTTTGTATTGCGTTTTATACTTACTTCTGTAAGCCCCATGCGATACTATGTGGTACATGGGAAATTTCTTGTATTTCTTTTAATAAAAAAAAATAAAAAAAAAATATTCAGTTACTGGTAGCATGCTCAGTGAACTAGTGCAATATCATGTTGTGAAATTCAACCTCCCATCGCTAGATCTAGCCTTACTCGAGCAATTCGGTGTTTCAACGGTCCAAAGCTTTAAAATAAAAGCTTATATTAACTTAGGTACGAAGGGTACAGAATCGTTTTATACCAAATCAGAAATATCAAAACTTCTCGATCATGTTTGGACCCACAAGACCATTAATGCCTGAAATAAGCAATGTTCACCGTATACACTATGCAGTTTTTTAAAACTTTTGGACGGTTTTTAGCCCGATTTAAGGAAGCATTTGATAACAGTTCTGTGCTCGAATTTTTTTAAAGCCATTCTCACGCAAGTGTTTTAGAGAACTAGTTTTTACAAATCTCTAACTACGATCTCGGATGTTATCGTTGCTGAACTTAAATAGGTGTAAACTGCTACATACTAACTTTGTTATGCCTGCATATGTTCGCGCTGCTGTTGCTGCTTCTGGAGTCATAAATCATTTTTCTTTAATTCAATATCTTTCTTCGTAGTTAATTATTTCGCAACCAAAGTTAATATAGTTACTTGACACTTAATTTTGAATATCTGAGATACTCAGATAGGCTAAATTACGTGTCAAGTAATACTATTGCAAGAATAAGTCAGAAAATTATATTACCCTGTTCTAACTTTTTTGCTTTGCCCTTCTAAACGGATTATTTATGTAAGCAAATAGTTATTCTGTAGCTAAAGTCTCTACAACATAGGGTGTCATAAAAATATAATAATTCTATTAATGGCGTGAATATCTACAAACGTCATGTCTAAAATGTACACAGTGTCTGTGTTCATAAAAGATTTTATGTGTCTTTATGTTCGCATTCACTAATCGCAGACATACTCGCATACCACACATACTCGCAAAGACACACTCCATACATATTTTCACACGCACACATACTTTCAAACATAATTTCTTTTCAATGAAGTAAATATTCATGGTATGGCATTTTTAAATTTAAAATTACCAGATTTATAAATATCAAGAAATCTAACATTTCATACAAACCACAGGCCTCTGTAGGTATATTTATAAAAAGTATACACTCATTCTAGAAACAATACTTACGTTTGCGCATAAACATTACTAATTTTTACGCAAATTACTAAGAAATATAATCTCATTTGTAGTTATTTATTTATTTATAGAAATAAAAAACGCGCTGCTGTAATTTGAAAAAATAAAAGGTATAAAGTAGGTCATTTAGGTTTTACATCGCTCAGTTTGTATACTAATAACCACTGTTGCAAACTGAAAGGTAATGAAAAAACTCTTATATTAAAGAAAGACAGTAACTATCAGTAATAGTCGAACAGACGGTCGCGTGAGTGGTTCAAACGATTTGTCACATATTTGATACTGTTTGTAAGTTAATTGTAATGTAACGTTACGCGAAAACTTGGAAAATTGGGCTATAGAACATGTGCCCAAAACTTGCGGGTAAAAGATAAAATTTGAGGGAATGCAGTAAAAGCTGGCTATGTTTCTGAGTGTCGAATCATGAATTAGCCAGTTGCCACTGTAATAAAACTGAGACACGTATGGTCATAAACAAACCTGATAGTGACATAGATCATAGAAAAACGTTAAAAACCTGCGTTACATTCTGTTCTGCTATCCAAAAATTTAAAAGAAAAACGATTCGTAATTATATTTTTGTAGAAAATCTAAAAACTGCGGAACAGTCATTATATTTTCTTGGAATTGAACATTATGTTTACCCGTTCATTATCTTTCAAAATAAAGCTGAAACAGACTCATTTTTAATTAAATGTGAGATATGAAATTTCAGCAATTTTTCCTGTACACTGATACAAACGATTAGAAAACGGATAGAATTTATATGCAGTGCCTCTCCATATGACACAATTAACCAAATAGTTAATTCAACGTATGTCATGTTATTTACAGATCTCTTCTCTGCTCACTACCAGTGTGATTTTTGTGTTCCTCATTATCCTGGGGATTGTGTGTGTCGTCCGATGGAGGAAGTTCCGTATGTCGCCAGACGTTCAGAATGCGGGCGTTTCTCCTTTATTTTTCCTGTGCTTCCTGAAGCGTAGGAGGAGTCGTTATTTACGGGAAAGAATTCCTTTGAATCCGTCCCAGATGGTAGAGAATCCAAACTATACCAAAGACCACAACAAAGACGTCGTTGTAGGTAAGATATCATAAAAAGAATTGTTGTTAATATTTCGTAAGTTCATTTATGCCAAATAATTTGAACAGCAAGTATGTAGATATGACAAATATTTGTATGCGACGACGGAGGTTTTGAACTTATTTTGTTTTTAAAAACTTAATCTTGTATCAAACAGCTTTGTGAATATGTAGACATTTATACAAAATTGTAACACGCGATATCGAGATTATGCGCTATTATATGGAAGCAACAGAAGCAGTTAAATCTGATATGTAACATATATATAATAATTTTATGTAACATAGACATAAATAAACACAATTGTTCAGTTTTTCAGTCTCGTGAGTAAGGTTGAACATACAGCTCTTTGATTTTAAAGATTACTTAATGTTAGGAATTTGATATGGGTTCTACTCTAGGTAAAAGGACTGACTGAATTGTTGGTTTTCGTGTTTTTGTCCATGCGTAACGAAATTACGAGCAACTTTCCCGATGAATGTCCTCCACGAAGCCATCCATCTCCTTAGGCAGATAGCCCTTCTATACTTTGGTATATTCAAGAAACCATACCTAAGTTTTGTTTTTAAAAATTTTCTATCCTACAATTGATAAGTTAGGAAACGAAAGAAGGTAGTCAATAGAGAAAATACAAAATATATTAAGCAAACGTTTTTCCACCGTAAGGAAGCTTTGAAATAGATGTCAGGTATCATGACTTTCTTGTATGAAAATTGATTAACTCATTTCACATATTAATAAGGAAGTCGTTACTAAGGTAACATGCTTTCTGAGAAGACTCGCTAAAAACGTTTACCGTACAAAGAATTAATACCTTATCAAATCTTAAAATGAATCTTTATCTCTAGGAAAATCAACAAATTACTGATAACGGAAGATCCTTTGTGCACTGATTATATAAAACATCCCTGTTTAACGGTTTTAGTACATCAAACACTTAAAATAACGACACTGCATAATTTATGTATAAAAGTGCTATAAATTCAATTAATGTATTTTCCTCATTGTTAACTGAAAATTTATGGATTCGATAGTAGCTATCAGTATTATTAAATTAAATAGCTATACAATTAAATTTAACTGTGAGTCATATTAATTATTAGTCATATCATATAATTCATTCTTATTGATCTTCAAATTTGTTAAAAGACATTTTTTAAATATTTCCTCTTTATAACGGAAATCAAATGCGAAATAGACGAGTGAGACAATATAGGTCAAAGAAACTTTATTTATTAATTAAATATTTAAACATGATTAAGGTACGAAATAAGTAAGAGTATAAAAAAAATTCCATTTTATTATTAGGTTAATAGACTCTCAGAGAAATCTATTTTTAGTTTTGAACTTTTGATTAAGTAAACTTAAAAATGTCTTTCGATGGTATGCAAATAGCCTAATAATACTTTAACTAGTTTCCATCGCTATCTATTATTAAATAAACAAAGAAACCTGGTCGCACAAAGTATATTTCATTTAACCCTTTCACATCGACCCTTTTTATTTACAAAAGTTTTTACTTTTTTTAATTAAATAATAATGTCACAGCACAAATATGCAAAAACACTTTTTTTATATTTTGGATTTCACATTAAAAAAAATTCGCATAGGGCATAAATGTTCCTTTAGGTTTCCTTAGGACAGGCCATCAACTTCTGGTTCATTACGACTTGAGATTTCCGGATTCTCCTGAAGAAAGTTACTTTCGTCCATGTCGTATTCTGAAGTCATCTCTGTGGGGGAAGAAACATATTCAGAACCCCTATCTTGAAATGGATCCCCATTGTCTTCAGACTCATCCCCAAAACGATCAACAAGCTGTTGTAGTTCTCTGTCGTCTTGCTTCTTCTTTCTGAAAAGAAATGTATATATATGCATATTTTTGAGGGCAGAAACAACAAAAACCGACCGGGACGCATTTATCCCCAATGAGAATTTGAGAGGAACGTATATCTCTCGTGTTGAAATTTTCAGCAAAATGGAATAAAAGTATATTAGCAACACCATAAAAATAATTCGCACTTTTAGCCACTAATTTACAGCAGAAAACTATAAAAAAATAAACAAACAATAAATAAACTCGTAGGTATAGGTTAGAACATGCTCGCTTTGTCGCTGGATGTAGACGGACTGAGAGAGCATGGCAAAATTGGCGGGAAACGTTTATTCCAGTACTCAAGTACCTCTCGAATATTTTGATTTTGTAATGGACCATATATAACCCATTAGACGCGAAAGGGTTAAGCAAGTGTCTGAGATAACTGAGATTTAAGTTTCTCATAGAAGTATTCAACAGAATAAATTTTCCATTAAAGAAAAAAAAATCTCAATCGGTAATGATATCTGAGAGCTCGCGGAACTCAAGTTCAGAAAATTCTGATAAAATACCCGTTTAGAGCTTTCAATATCGAATCTTTAGCTCAGATATATTGAATTCATTTTTATTACTAGATCTGAAGAGTAAATTATATTCTAAATAGAAGTTTAACCTTATATATGAAAGCAGTACGTATAAGAAAACACTGATATGCATTTTACATGTTCTCTAATATGGTATTTACTAACGAATCCTCTATTCAATTAACTAAGAAGTTGAATTTTAGTAATCTAACTAAAGCGCATTTCTTTTTTAACATCTGTCCGGATACTTTCACTATTTAATTAAAAAAGAGTTATTTGTATGAATTATCCACTTTGTATCTCTACAGATTCAAACTGCAAAGGCGTGATTCATACGTTTTGAACCTTTAGGACTCACTTCATCAAAATTCGCTTTCTCTCTATAAGTATTTGAATTAAAAATCAATAACCACAGCTTCCGAATTTTATTCATTACTGGCTATGATTATTTCCTCTATTCCCAAAGACCGAATCAAAGCTCTGACCAAAGCTCTGACTTATTAAACAGCATATTTCATTTCTCATCAATAAGCTACGCATTTAAATATAATAATCTTCGCTCTCGTAATTAAAGGAGCAACGCATCTAAATCCGAATTCCTCCTTCCACTGATTGCAATTTGTTGACCGAAAGCAATATACCGATTTTTGTATGAGTCATTGAATTTTCTTCGATCATCATGATTTCGTTAAGTTTCTGTAACTAAACTTTCATACTTTAGCTTGTATTTAATTTCAGGCTTGAAACAAGCTTCATTAAGTGGCTTTTAATTTTCAGCCTTATTTTGAATATTTTATCTAAGTTTCTCGGTTTTAATTTAAGAAGGAAAGTAAGTTTAACCCCTAAAATTTGCATGACAAATCTTTCAGCATCTGTTACGAAAGGTTTAGTTTTCAAGTTTCGTTGTGTATACTGTTCGAAATTTTGCTTGTGTATCAAAATGTATGTATGAGCAAACGTTTGAGATTGTTTGAGCGCTTCTGATGCGTCTGTACGTTTTATAGTTTGAGGTTAAAATGTTTAGGAAACACGATTACCCTGACATCTGATAAATACGTCAGTTAGTTATCCGATTTTCTGTGAAAAATATGAAAGCTGGGGATATTGATTGCCATGTAATGTGAAGTATATGGTGATGATGCTATAAGTCATAATAAAGTGAATATATAGATAAGATTCTTCAAGGAAAGTCAGGAGGTAATCCAGAAGAAATCACACTCACATTCCTTCGTAATCTCGATAGTTTTGTGCAGGCGCTTAAATTGACACAAGCGGGAGATATGAGCAAATGACATTGCGAAAAAAACATTGATGAAAAAATTAAAATGATTAATTATCATCATTAGTGCAGTGGTCTAACAGGTGGGTATCCAGAATTTCTGTGTTTGTTACAATAAATGCTTAAAGCGACAAGAAACGTACATTATATAGGGATTAAAAATTGCAGGTTAATTGAAAAATAAATATTTTTAAATTTGTTTTTGTTTTATTTTTATTGCCACTTCTTAAGAAATAACCCTCATATTTTGCATATGTTGATAGATAAATTGGTTTTTTATGCATATATTTCATGAACAGTTTATTAAGATTAACATTTTTTTAACACTCGAAGGCTTTCATTCTGTACTGTTTTCATTTTACTTGTATTACGCCTGGGAATACAAAATTAAGTAGTTGCACCATACGATAAACAGTTTTCTTTTTATCTCCAAAATACAATTGTACATTATTTATCAGTGAATCACATGAAAAATGTACGTACATTCTAATAGCATTTTGATAATTTTCCATTTAAAGCATCTTAATCTTCATAAGGAAGTTCAGCAATAAAACCTCCCTCTTCTAAAATCACAATACTTTTGTGTTGAATTGTTTTCTGGATAGCAGATGATATGGTACGATTTCCTGCATTGGATGTTCGAAATGGCATAGCAAAAAAAAAATTATAATAATTGATTTTAGAGGAAAACTTCGCGATTACTCACAATATTGAATGGAATTTGAATTGAAAAATTAATTTAAGAAATGTTTTTTGAATTATAATCGTGATTATGGCATGGTCGAAGAAAGTTTTCGCCCCCAATGTTTATGCGATACCGAAATTTTAGTTCAGTGAAAATAATTTCGAGAGCTTTTCAACCCTACTGTTTCTTTCAAAATCTGAAACATTTCATCTGGATGTTTAACTTTCCGATAAGCTTTTCAAATATAGTGCGAAAAGTCAATTTTTAGAATACCATTTTCAGTTACATGAATTAACAGTTTCTATAACATTAAAAATTGATCTGATTTGGGAAACTTAGTCAAGCAAAATCGGCACATAAGGCTTCTAATAATAAGCAATATTTTAAAGCACTTGTATTCATGAGACAATTTGCTTAGCTATACGTATTGCTAGATTTGAGTACTAACTGATTGCGAATCTAAGTGACGGAAATTTATTAAATATTTTGAGATTTTAAAGCATCTGCTTTATAGTTAAAAGCAAATATTTATAGTTACTTAGAGATTCCTGGTGATATATGACGAATGTTATGGTGAATACATTAAAACTTTTCTTGTCGAAATAAACAACACTTCGAAAAACAATCATTGAATTA